GGGGTGTGCGAGCGCCCTGGGGACTCACACTCGCACGTGTGAGTCGTGTGTAGGGAAGTACTACACATCCAATTTGTCCGAGACTGGAGGCCACCCCTAAGATGATTAGAGATAGGTCCCTAAATCATGATTGCATGTGTTTGCATTTGCATGGCCCCCTATAGTGGGGCCACTTACTGAGTATTCTTTGAAATACTCAGGTCGTGTGCCACATCATTTTTCAGGTAAAGGCAAGGCGCACTTGTACGGAGGACGGCGGCATCGCGAGCAGAGACTGTGGCACGTGCATAGGGTAGACTCATATTTAAATTTCTAGTCTTAAGTTAGAATAGGTTGTTTTGCATTTCATTGTTTTAAATTATTTTGTATTTGTTTTTGTTTCTCTAAATTTCAGTATTTCATATTTAAACATGTAAGACCATGGCAGTGTTTTTCAGAGGAGAAGTTGTTTTAAACGTTTTTTTTTTGAAAATTTTCATTATCAATTATGTTCATGTAAAAGTTATATTTCCACATTATAGATGAGCATGAGACGTTAGTAGCGACTCTGAGTATGTGGAAATTTAGGGTCGTTACATTCTTCCTCCGAATGCAACCCCAACATTTCGGAGGAAAGTTTAGAGAAAATCGTTTTCAAGGGATGTAAAAGGTTGGGCATAGGAATATAAAACTAATCTCAAGACACTTCCCAATAAGGCATCCTAGGGGTTTTAGAATAAGGAAATTTGGAGAAATAGGAATGTTGCTATTAGGTAATAAAAGTCTAGCACGAATCCTTCTATTTTCGGGGAGATTACATTTAATTATTTATTCTATTTTATTTTATTCTAGAAACCCAAACCGTTACAATTTCTAATAACTTCCTCGTTTAAAAATTGCATCTTTTACGAAAATAAATGCATAACATAATATCTTGTCATTTATAGAAATAAAAACAAAATCCCAACCAAATAAGGCAAACATGGAAAATCTGAATCGTTACATAGGTTGACTTGGATTTCAATGGACTTTCATTAAGGATAACGACGGAACATCATCCTAAGCTAACCAGGTAAGTGACCTTACTATCGGCATGGTTATATTTCCTGTTGACACTTACCCCGTGGTTCTGCACGTGTCATATATATTGATATATGTGAATTGTTTGTGGATCGATATGCTTCTTATTTGTTAAGTATATGTTATAATATGTGAATTGTTTGATAATAATTACAGTATGATGTGTTCAATGATATTTTTGAGATCGGATACAAGAAGGATGCACAGAACGAAATGTAACGATAGGAGTAAAATACGTTTATGAAACGTTAAGGTTAGGTTACATACCGGAGTGATATGGATAAGAGAGATTGATGGAAGAATACGGTTAGGCAACGAGTAGAAAGGGATAGATTTGTGATAGATTGATAGAACGATAGCGTTAGGTTACGTTCTTGTGATGATATGACTAAGGTACGTTCATGTAATGATATGTCTGTGATAGGTATAAGAACGTTAAGGCTATGATAATTTAGAAAACGATATGACTACGATTTACGTTATGACATATTTATGATATGATACATTGTGATGCAATATATCATGGTATGATGTGTATATGATGAAATGTTATGTTAAAAGCATAGAACGTTATGCTAGGTCTCTTAAATTGTGTGTATACACCATGATATGAATGTCATGAAATTAAGATAAATGACATGAAATATAACCCCATTAGAATTATGTATGATTTGAGAACTGAAGAATGAGAAACGATATGACATGAATGATGAACGATATGAAAAATTATATGATATGTACATAATGCTAGCGGGGTTGTATTAAAGGATAATGAAAATGGAAAAGTTTTGGGACCTCATGCATTATGTGTGCTCATGCATTTGGGGGATACCCCTATCCCATCACGAGGGTACGGACGCGTACATCCAATGGCAGGACAACGATCGTTATGCTTTGCATAGTGCTGCTGTGGCGGTTACTAATTCTAACGGGTTCTGGCATAAGGGGCTCCCAGAGTACGCCTACCGGATAAGGAAGGTGACCCAGCGGTGTGCGAACTAGCTGGTGAGCCCATACTCGCACGTATGGGCTGTGTGTAGAGTATATGGTACACGTCCAAAATTACCCGTTAGGACAGCACCGTAGGGAAAACGAAACGAAAGATAGGTCCCATCATTTCATTGCATGTGATTGTTGCATTTAACCCCAATAGTGGGGTCACTTACTGAGTATTTCTTTAAATACTCAAGCCATGTGTTACTATATTTTTCAGGTTAAGGCACATGCATAGGGTAGTGGTATTTATTTTCTTAGACTTAGGACGACTGCATCGCAACTTGAGACCATGGCACATGCATAGGGTAGTGATATTTATTTTCTTAGACTTAGGCTAGACTAGGATGTTTTTAACTTAAACTCTTATTCATTTTATTTAGTCTTTTGTTACGAAACACGTAAGTCCATGGCTGTGTTTTAAGATAAAGGTTATGTTTTATGAAATTTTAATGAAATCTTCCGCATTCAATGTTTATGGTATTGTATATAGTAGCGACCTTAAATTAAGTAGAAAATTTCGGATCGTTAAACAGGAGATCTAAAATATAATTGGTTGTGATTTCCTAAAACTTAACAAAATTCTTTTCATTTAATCTCTTCAAAACTAAATAATTGTAACAAGATTAATATTACTTAATAAAATAAAAGGAAGATTTAACATACGACTATTGACCTCTTCAAATGACATATCTCCTTGACGAAACTAAATCTGCTTAAACCTTTTATTATTATTATTATTATTATTTGTTTTTGTAGGAAGGAAAAGATTCTAAAATGGGTAAATCCGCAGTTGTTTTTACAGAAAAACAATTATTGATTTGTTGCTAGATTTATTTTTAGGGAAGGAGTGGTGAGAGATTGAAGGAAGAAGGAGGGATCGATTACCAAATATTTTTTTTAATATTTTTATTATTATTATTATTACTACTACTATTTTATTTTATTTTTTCGGGTTGTTACATATTCACGTCTAAAGCTCCAAATGGTTCTTCCTCAATCGAATCAGCTTGTAAAAATGAAATGATGTGATATGAACCAAGAGACATCAATCATACAATATACCTTAATAAAGATGTGAAGCAAATATTGTTGAAATTATCAAAAGATATTTCAATTCATGCCATATTGAAGAATAATGAAGTTTCATGTTATAAATTTTGGGTGGATTGCAGTTTAGAGTAATTTAGAGTTATTGTATTTCATTAATGTATTTTAAGATTTTTTTTATTTAGAGTTATTGTATTTCATTAATGTATTTTAAGATTTTTTTATTTACATTAGGTTACAATTACATAATGGTTAATTATGTCCATGAAGTAGGAATGTTACAACTCTTGGGATGATGCCTTTAATAGTTTCATTCTAAGACTATATAAAGCCATGTATGTTGTATTTGTAAGCAGATTTGGAAAAGGTAGTAAAAGGAGCATTTGTGCTTTCTTTAGCCAATGACTAAGTTTCTTTGCAACTTTATGTAGCTTAGGTTGCATGTAGAATCATTCAAGCTCGACATGATCAATCTTGCTTGTGGAGTGATTCGAATCTCAAACAAGTGTTCTTGCGTTGAGATATTTGATCAACAAGAATTATTCAAGCTAGACATGATCGATCTTGCTTGTGGAGTGATTCGAATCTCAAACAATGTTCTTGTCTTGAGATATTCGATAAACAAGATTATCCGAATCTTACTCCCCTTGTAATGATTTCCACATATCATGATGTTTAAATCGAGTCTATCCAATTTTGTAGAAGAAGAATGAATGTTTGTTGAATCTTCTTAGCCTTGGATCGTGTAATAGGTCCAGTTGGAACATTTGGAACACCGTGATCCTTATTAAGGCTTGATTGAATGGCTCGGATGCAATTCTACCACAAGAATTGCTTGAAACTTAGAAATGAAAAAATTGATGCTCGGGTTTCTAAGGGAAACGTCTCAATTCGAAATCTCAATTACATTCATCCACGAATCTAATTTTTACATAATATATTGTGGATATTTATAGTCTCCCACAAAAGACGTTTGTGGCCGGGATTTATTCCCCATCCCCTTTAATCTCCACAAAAGACGAAGTCAAATTGACCATTTGACCCTTACATAGTTTCAGGTAAGAAAAGAGTTAGTCAAGATAGGGAGCAGACTCTGAAGCAGGTGCATAGATAAGCCTTACCCATCGTCCTCCACACCCTATTGTTTTAAATGTTATCGTCCTTATTTCGTCCTCCACCTCATATTTTTATATAATATAAATATATTTTAAATTCTCTTTGTTTCAGGTCGCAAAAAATTGCATGCCTTTTTACACAGGACGTATTGTTCATCGCCGCACGCTCATTCTAAACCCTTTTTACTTGCTTTCATATTAGATAGACTTTTACTATTGTTGTTGTGTCAATACAATGGTGTACGATTGTTCACCAAAATCATGTCTACATCCAATAGTGCTACAATGCCCTATAATGTACTAAAGGGGATATGACAAGTTGTCACTTCTTTCTACTAGGGTTATATGTTATCATGGTCGTTGTTGTTGCCTACTTGCTTTTAGCTTATAACAATGCTTTTTTTCAACAAAAATTCAACGTATTTCCTTGATCACGTCTTCTAAAATATTTCTCACAAATGTGACTCGAGGCTCAAGCATACGCCAACATTGTTCGTGAAGTCTGAATTTCTCACAGCTGATTTGCTTGCCAGGTTAGAACAAGTGCCGCACAATCACTGTTGTGCTGCCACAAGAGTGCGATTGTGATAGGTGGTATCAGAGTCGAGTCGGCTTCTTGTATTACACGACATGTCCGCTACAAAACAACTAGACAAGTCCTAGGCTAACCGATTGATTGAAATCGAAGAGTAGTTACTTTACATGAGTGAAGTTCCTAATGGAATGGGGATCAACAAGATGGAAGGTTGCCGTGAAAAATTGCTTATTTGTGAACAAATGATTAGGGCCGAGGCCCTAGAAAACAAGGTCACAACTGCAGATAGCTTCGAGCATAGGGATAGCTCGGTGGGTTCTGTTGCTCGAATGGAAGAATGTGTCAAGGACTTGCACAAGTCCTAACAAACGATTGTTCGAATCGTCTAAAAATGTGGATTTGAGAACATCTATTGGAGTAGTTAGGGTTGAAATGGCGGATTTAAGCACCATATTAAACGTCACCATAAGAGTGGTGGGAACCAAACCCCAATTGGGGGTGTAGTACAATTTAACAAGATAAAGGTCCTAGAGACCGAGTCGTTTTGTGAGGTTGGAGATGCCAAATGATAAACGCCTACAATGCTGGAATTTGCAAAGCTAGAGGTCTTTCTAGAATCCTTGCAAAACATTCACAGAGAAAGCTAACTTAACGGATGGATTCCAACCAAGAGCTGGTTAGAAGATGAATGACTCTTAGATCGAACTTGGAATCTATGATGGTCACTCTTTGTAACGCCCCTAATTTTCTCTACCCTAATTAACGACGTTACGTTATACTCGTCTAATCACAGGACAAGAGTTCACGTGAGACACTCTCAATAACGATAACGCATTCATCAATATAAGCAGTTCATACCTGGGAAAATAATTACGACAACCTAGCCTAGAAGAAAACAACAGAGAACTAGAGGAAACAATCGCAAAACTATGAACCAAAAAGAATCCAACAAGGCGCCTATACGACACTATAGACTCTCCTCAAGATTTCCATGGCCCTTCGCATCATCCACCGTCAGCCGTACATGGGAGCCTTGCCCTTACCTGAAAATATGGGTAGCACGTGGCTTGAGTATTATATAAAATACCCAGTAAGTCGCCCCACTGTTGGGGTTAAGCATATATTCATACATCCGGATACAAGCAGTCGCACACAATACATCTACATGTCACACACGATACACATACATGACGCACACAACACACATACATGTCGCACAGAATACCCATACATATCGCCCATAACAGCCATACCTGTAGCACATAATAACCATACATAACGCACATAATAACCATACATGTCGTACATAATAACCATACATGTCGCACAGTGTTAGAAGAACGAAGCTGAGAGAGGGGTCTGTCTTCCATTCCTTCCCATGCCCTTAGGCCCTTGCTTTGTCCGGGCGGGGGTGGATGCATGGTAATTTCCCACACATGGCTCACGTGTGTGACTGTGGGCCCACCAAGCGAGCTCGGAAGCGAATTCCCTGGGCCTAGCTTGGTCGGGTATGTATGACATACAATACCGGATGCCACGAACAAAGGAAGGCTTGCATGATATCGTGGCGAACACAATATCGAATATACGCATCCATACTATCAGTACCATAACGGGGGAGTGCCCCAGGTACATAGCCATAGCGTGTATGAGGTTCTTAAGGTTTACCTCCATGGCATTATACATACAACGTTCCATCCCCTCGCCGCATTACATAGCATAACCGGGTCCACATTGAGCAAGCATATCATAGCATAACCGGGTCCACATTGAGCAAGCATATCATAGCATAACCGGGTCCACATTGAGCAAGCATATCATAACATACTAGTCATCTCATTCATGGCATGCAGGGTTCTCATTACAATCATGACATGTCAATCAAGCTCATCATACATACAGGGTAGCACACCGTGTCACAACATCATATTCATAAACATGACATACATAGCAATTCACTGCAAGAATCACATACATAAACATAGCATGCATAGCATTTCACTGCAAGAAACATCCAACCTAGCATACTGCAATAACATATGGTGCATGCAAGAGCCACAGGGCATGCACCAACATACATACATAACTAACGCCAACAGTAAGGTTACTTACCTCTTGGCCTTGGCCGAAGTCACCCACAACACTAACTCTAGCGCCCAACTACCTCCTATAAGATAACATGATATACTTAGAGCGCTTTCACAACTATCCCTCATGCCTAGCTACCAAGATATGTCCCTATCGCAAGCTATTTGTCAAAATGGGGTTATACTGACCTCAGATGGTTGAAACAAGGGTGGGAATGGCTCTAGAATGGTCGAAAACCTAGGAATCGGTATACTATTCGGATGTCGAGCCGCCAAGCCGCCCCACCAAGCCACACTTAGCCGAGCTGGAGGTTCGCAAAGTCGCCGATGGAGCCGAAATCGATGGCTGCGACGAACACCGCCGGCGCAGGGTTTCTGGCGCACCTCCAATTTGGGCCAAAAAGGGAACGAGGCCCCGGGGTGGTGTCCGAACGCGGCCTGCAAAGGGTGGGCTGCACGCTGGCCGAGACGTCTCGCGGAATGCCGAGGGTCGACCCACGCCTGCCACTGCATCTTCCTTGTCTGAAGGTCCCTATAGTCCTAATCGCAGAGGATATAGATATGAAAAAGGTAACCGCCTGTTCGGTTTTGTATTAGTTTTGAAGCAGAATGTGAATTATGATGAGTTGTAGTTGATTAGGAGAACTGCTATCTCACTACGGGGATTACTCTTACTCATCTTTCATTATTCATCTTTTACGTCCTGGGACCGAGATATTCATTATGAATCGCCAAAGTCTTCCTACTTCTCCATTGTTCCAATCAGATCCCCAAAATGAGAAAGAAGGACCAAAATTGAATCATGACTATCCTTATAAGCTATTCTGATATTCAGATTCGATATAGATCAAATCGTGTAAGCCGACCTTTTCCTTCCTTGGCCCATGTAAGAATTCGTCGTCTGATTTCATCTTCTTCTTCCTCGATGCTCCATAGGAATACATCGCTATTCCTTTTCTTACACCGAGAAAGGGTCATTCCGAATCACAAGAGTTTCATTCATTTTGATTTGAGGATGAGGCATTAGCAGACTGACTCGCCTTACCACCTTTCCCTCTTCGAGTAACCCTATTCAGTCAGAAAAAGAGGAAGTGGGGTTGAGACGAGAGCTACGGAACCTTAATTACCAGATTGAACAGGGGAAACTAGCCGATTCTTCTTTCATGAGGTAAATGGATGGGTTGGTTAAAGCATCTTCCGGCCTTCCTGTCCTTTACAGTCGAGTCGAGCTACTTACTCATTCAGTCTTCTCTCTCTACACCCTTTGAAGTCAGAAAAAGAGAAAGGTCAGTGGTTGAGACTTTCGCTCGTCAACCTTTGACTGATTGAACAAGGTAAAGTCTCAGTGATTGACTTCCCTTCCGGTTGGTTCAGTAGCTCAGGGAGAGGGTTGAGGTTTCCTCTTTTACCTTGTTCCATCTGGTTCAGGATTTGATTCTCGACCGTAAGTAAAGGACAAGAAGGAAGATGAATGAACGAACCCATTTACCGAGTCTTTCAGAAGTTCAAGAATAGAAATAGGTGAAAAGGGGAATTAAGAGGAAAGGGGCGAAGCAAGCAGCTCGACGAGAAGAGTGAAAGAAGGTGTGAAGTCAGTCTCTTTTCATTTACTCGACTGTAAAAGGGAATATCGTATCAAGGGAGCTTCTCTGTCTTTCCTTCCCCGGAGTAAGTAGCTCGACAGTAAAGGGGCTAATTCATTGATTCTTCTATCACTAGGGACTATTCTTTCACAAGGGAAATAGGGTCAGGGAATATAGGGGCCGGAAGTAGCGAAGGTAAGGGGGAGGGTGAAGTAGCGTCTTCATTTACTCGACTGGGTAAGGTCAGGAGCGAAGACTCAGACTGAGTGTTTGAAGGTGAATGAGGTTACAGTGAAAGAAGGGACCAAGGAGCGAAGCGGTGAGCCCGAGTTTACGAGGCGAACGAGTGAAAGAGCTCGACAGTAAGTAAAGGTTCCGGAGTTCAGGAGTCAGAGGAGCGAAGGGAAGTCTCATTCATCTTGTTCTTGTCTTGCTTTCTCAAGGATAGGTTGGTTGAGTCTAACGAATAAGGAGTTGGGTGTTTCCTGTTCCTGTTCCGGAAGGTATTGAATGAATTTACTCGACTGGAAAGTTCAAGGGCATATGGGTTCCGGTTCCGGGGCAGGCTCATGAGCTTGACCTTCAAGAATAGGTTACGGTTCAGTAGTTCAGGTCATATCGGTTCATGAAATTCAATTGTTCAACCTTGTTTACGAGGTGAGGGAAATGNGAATCGCCAAAGTCTTCCTACTTCTCCATTGTTCCAATCAGATCCCCAAAATGAGAAAGAAGGACCAAAATTGAATCATGACTATGCTTATAAGCTATTCTGATATTCAGATTCGATATAGATCAAATCATGTAAGCCGACCTTTTCCTTCCTTGGCCCATGTAAGAACTCGTCGTCTGATTTCATCTTCTTCTTCCTGGATGTTCCATAGGAATCCATCGCTATTCCTTTTCTTACACCAAGAAAGGATCATTCCGAATCACAAGAGTTTCATTCATTTTGATTTGAGGATGAGGCATTAGCAGACTGACTCTCCTTACCACCTTTCCCTCTTCGAGTAACCCTATTCAGTCAGAAAAAGAGGAAGTGGGGTTGACACGAGAGCTACGGAACCTTAATTACCAGATTGAACAGGGTAAACTAGCCGATTCTTCTTTCATGAGGTAAATGGATGGGTTGGTTAAAGCATCTTCCGGCCTTCCTGTCCTTTACAGTCGAGTCGAGCTACTTACTCATTCAATCTTCTCTCTCTACACCCTTTGGAGTCAGAAAAAGAGAAAGGTTAGTGGTTGACACTTTCGCTCATGAACCTTTGACTGATTGCCCGAGGGTTGAACTATTCTTGAACAAAGGAAAGCATATTCAATCCTTCTTTTTCACTCTTTGACAGTAAGAAAGATGAATGAGAGTTGACTCCTCTACCGTAAGGTCGAGCTCTTTCATTTCACTCCTCTCCCTATTTTGTTGGTCATTTCAGTCAAACACAAGGGAAGGAAATAGGTCAAGCTATTTTATGGTCTCATTGCTGCACTCACTCCTCTCTATTCTTTCACTATTCTTTCACGAGGTAAACAGAAGGATGATTCTTTCACTCTTGAATTAAGGAAGGAAAGAGACTGAACTCAATCACTACTGAACGCCTTCTTGCTTGAACTCGGCTCAGTAAAAGAAAAAGAGAAATACTATTCATTCTCCTTCACCTCGGCTTCTTTCTTCTGCTTTCAAGACTCAACAAGAATGAGAGTGAACTAACTGAACTTCGAAACCAGAACCGATATGAACTTCGCTACTTCATAGGCTTCCTGATCTTACCTCCTTCACCTATTTATTTGTCTCATTGCTTGGCTCCTCTCACGGTAGAAGAACAGATAATGACTATTTATACCAGAACGAATGGTTATCTTGATTCATTATAAATTGAACAAGTAAGAAAATGTCTCGTTGAGTTACGTACTTACGTGTAAAAACGAATATACCTCAGTTTCAAGAAAGAATCTCTTCCACAAGACATTCACCCCTGAAGCGGAAGCTCTTTTGAAAGAAGCTATTCAAGAACAACAGATGGAACGTTTTCTACTTCAAGACCAAGCAAGTCTAAAAGAAAACAAGTAGTGTAGTAAAGTATCAATCAATTTGATAATAAGAATAGCAGCGTGGGAATCGAACCCGCATTGTTAGCTTGGAAGGCTAGGGAGTCGCCGTTGGTTGATTCATCATTTTGAACGTCTCTAATTCTAAACCGAACGGGAAACTTTGGTTTCATTCGGCTCCTTTATGGAAGATGGATAAATTCTCTTACATGTAAGATGTAAAGAAAAAAGAAATGCGTGCCACCCATACATAACATCTATCTCAGCCTGCCAGGCTTTCCTTTCCGTCTGAATCCATTCAAAAGGACCTGCTTTATAGATGATCCCTATACAAGAGGAGATTCATACAATCTTTCCAGTTATTTATTTCGTTCCCTATTTCTATTGAATAGAATCCTTAGTCAAAGTAGTTTGTTTCCGCCGGCCGAGCTAAGGATGTCGACGTCTCTAGTAAACCAAAGACACTGTTTCATAGCATAGCTCTTTTGTTTTGCTTCTTCCTTATATATACAAAGACAAAGAAGATGTAGTTACGATTAGAATTCCCCCTTTATCCATGGATCCCTTATTTATTCCTTCAATTGTCTGTCAGTATTGATCCAATTAGGTTGGGGCGAGATGGCTGAGTGGACTAAAGCGTCGGATTGCTAATCGGTTGTACGAGCTTTTTGTATCGAGGGTTCGAATCCCTCTCTTCTCTTTCCCTTTCTGTCAATTACTTTTTTGATAGTTTAGGAAAGATGTGGAATAGATTAAATTAGGAAGAGTTGAGTTGTTCATTACTTGAAATTGTATTTAATACCGACAGACAATTATATATTGTGTGCGACTCTAACAGGCAGGGTCGTTCAATGGAAAGAAAGTCAGAATAAGAAAATGAGAGTGATCCTTCTCCCAGCTATAGAAGAATTGCCATATTGGACTCAACTGAAAGGTTCGTTCAGACTGTATGGACGATTTCTCTGATCTTATAACAATCTCTTTTTCTAGTAAATCATCAGTCTCGGATAGTATTCAAAATCTTATCGAAAGCTTACCGCAGCTTGCCAAACAAAAGCTAATAGAAAAAAGAATACAGCTATTTCTGGCATAACATTTACTATTGGATTCAAAAAAGCGTAGACCTCAAGCAATTTGGCGACGAAAGAAAAAACTACTTGACTTGTGAATAAAGGGAAGAATGAAGACAGATACCGATGAAACTTAAGAGATTATACGCCTAACAATTTCTTTTGATTGAGTTATTAATCCCCTATTTCTTATTAAGGGATACGGAAGGAATAAGATAAAGTAGGTCAAAACCCCTTTCTTGCTTGAGCTCAGCCAATAAAAAATCCTTCAATTCGAAAAAGAGAATAAGAAATAGAAGAAATCCTACTTTCAGACATTATCTTAATGGGGAATTATATGTAATGATCCATAAATGCAGTTTAATTGGATCTCTAAACGTATCAAAATCCGAGCATAGAATTCTTTCTATAAATCTTTGTACTGGAATTGACGACCAACCACTACGAATATTAGTGTTTATTAGTAGTGAATATAAATGCGGCGTGGCCAAGTGGTAAGGCAATGGGTTTTGGTCCCGCTATTTGGAGGTTCGAATCCTTCCGTCCCAGAGTATGTCTATTAGATAGAGAACAATATATTCAACAAAGATATATAGAAAACCATATCATATCCGACTAAAGCTTGCCCTTTTAAATTAAACTATCCATGTCATAACAGCTTGCCCTTTTAAATTAAACTATCCATGTCATAACAGTATAGATTACTATGGACCAACTAAACCAATGACTATACATGATTCCATAAATTAATCAATTACATACCAAACCCGTTTGTTGCACGAAATGTGAGGGGCAAACTTCGGTTAAAACGATGGATGTGGTAGAAAGCAATGGGCGACTTGAAGGACATGATCCACTGTGGATTCCTTTGTTCTCTGACACTGGAGCTCGAGTAGAAAGTCTTGATTCCTTTATCAAGGGCAGAGATCTAGGGTTAGTAGTGTTAATCAATAAGTGAAAACGTCTAAGTCAGTATATGTTAGGTATAGAAAGAGAAAGAAGCCAATTCGACCGATTTAAGGTGTATCACATGAGAATCCATTGGTATGTTGCTGCCATTTTGAAACGATTAAAGATCACCGCACCAAAGTAATGGCTAAACCCAATGATTAAAGGCAAGGATAAAGGATCTCCTCACTCAACAAGCAAGTCAAAATCCTTTTCAATTGTCTCAATAACGAAACTAGATCAGAATGAAGAATTGAAATAGATGATAAAGGAGACAGGCAAAAATGAAAGGGTTAGAGACAGACCGCTCAATAAATGAAATGCTTAAGCTTCAGGGTTGTTTTCCTTTGAGTGAGAGTTATACCTACCACTTGATTGAGTTATGAGGATAAGTCAGAATGGAATGAGTTTCTTTCACAAAAGAAGAAGAAAGTATTTAACTAATTGATTGAATAATCTATGAATCAATTTGACATTCATTATCATTCTATACATGACTGTGAATTTCCTCGAGCCGTACGAGAAGAAACCTTCTTATACGAGGCGGGTCTTGTTAATTTACATCTATCCCACCGGTTGCTTATTGAATCATTGCAATTGATGTTCAGCCCGAAGAGAAGGAAGAGATCCTCATAAAGTGGATTCTTATGAAAAGAATCTAACCTATTTGCATCTTCCTGCTATTCTATATTTCCTTGAATCAGATAGAGAAGGAAGAGATCCTCGTAAAGTGGGTTTAGTTTGATGTATGATCCTATAAAGAACTGAATCTAACCTATTTCAATCCGCTATTCTCTATTTCCTTGAAAATGGTGCTCAACCTACAGGAACTGTTCATGAGATTTTCAATTAGGGGCAGGGAGGGTTTTTTACGCAATTGAACCTTAATCAATAACCGAAATTCTATGTAATGAAATCAAAAAGGGTGTGGATAACTTGTATATAGCTTTGGCTAACCTTTTCTTCTTTATTATTATTTCCCCCCTCTCTTGTTCTATTCATACTGTTTACCTTCTAATTCCGTCTTCGATAACACCAAAAATATATCTTTTTTTCTTTCTACTTCTTCCTTCATTTTGTCTTTCGCCTACATCTTTATATGTCCATCTATGTTGATTATCTCTATAGTGCCAATCCAAGTAGTTTGATAATTCTTTAGTTTTCTCCATTGTATAGTGTAGTCGGGTTTCACTATTCACATTCAACAGTGTATCAAACAAATAGAATCCGATCGTGTATAAATGAAGCTAGTTATCTCCTCTCCGTTTCAGGACCTTTGCTTTTCACACACATGATGGTCTCAAAGTGACTTTTCTGATATAAGAAGTTTTGTCTATTTTTGGGGTTGGTTGCTAACTCAATGGTAGACTACTCGGCTTTTAAGTGCGGCTAGCATCTTTTCTTTTGTTTACAAATTTCTATGAGGAAAGAGATTCGTCTATACTATCGGTAGAATTTGTAAGACCGCGACTGATCCTGCCTGAAAGGAATGAATGGAAAAAGCAGCATGTCGTATCAATGCTAAATTCTAGTAATATTTTGACCTTACTAGATTAGGGCAGCCAACCCCCTTGTTTGAATTCTTGATGCGGAAAGAGTCAGTGATATGAACCAAGAGACATCATTCATACAATATACTTCAATGAAGATGTGAAGAAAATGTTGTCAAAATTATCAAAAGAGGTTGCAATTCATGTCACATTGAAGAGGAATGAAGTTTGATGGTTATAAATTTTGGGTGGGTTACAATTTAAAGTAATTTGAGTTTATGTATTTTAAGACATTTTATTTACTTTAGGTTACATTTACATAATGGTTAATTATGGTCATTAAGTATGAATGTTACAACTTTTGGAATGCCTTTAATAGTTTCATTTTGAGGCTATATAAAGCCATGTATGTTGTATTTGTAAGGTGGACTTGGAAAATATATTAAAAGAAGCATTTGTGTTTTTCTTTAGCCAATGGCTAAGTTTCTTTGCAATTCTATGTAGGTTTAGGTTGCATGTAGAATCATTCAAGCTCGACATGATCAATCTTGCTTGTGGAGTGATTCGAATCTCAATCAAAGTGTTCTTGGCTTGAGATATTCGATCAACAAGGTAATCCGAATCTTACTCCCCTTGTAGTGATTCCTTATCATATCATTTGGTATCAGAGCTTCAGGCTCAAGATCGGATATATGTTTCCTTTGCGTTTCTTTTCAATTTGTTTTTATCTTTATAGTTTTTAATCGACCCAAAATAAAAAAAAATCCAATTTAGGCTCTTCTAAAAAAACATTCAGAGGTGAGAATGAGAGCTTCATTTGTGTACATGAGTGCAAACAGAGTGGCCTAAAAATCCTTGAGTGTATACTCGTGAGAGAGTGTTGTGAGGTCCTTCGTATTTCCATAACTTATTTTTTGCAGCAAAGTTTCACAAATAGATTCGAGGACGAATCCTCTTGAAGAAGTGGAGAATGATATGAACCAAGAGACATCAATCATACAATATGCTTCAATGAAGATGTGAAGAAAAGGTTGTCAAAATTATCAAAAGATGTTTCAATTCATGCTACATTGAAGAAGAATAAAGTTTGAGTGTTGTAAATTTTGGGTGGGTTATAATTTAGAGTTATTGTATTTTAAGACTTTTTATTTAATTTCGGTTACATTTACATAATGGCTAATTATGGCCATAAAGTGTGAATGTTACAACTTTTGGAATGCCTTTAATAGTTTCATTTTGAGGCTATATAAAGCCATGTATGTTGTATTTGTAAGGCAGACTTGGAAAATATATTAAAAGAAGCATTTGTGCTTTTCTTTAGCCAATGGCTAAGTTTCTTTGCAATTCTATGTAGTTTAGGTTGCATGTAGAATCATTCAAGCTCGACATGATCAATCTTGCTTGTGGAGTGATTCGAATCTCAATCAAGTGTTCTTGCCTTGAGATATTTGATCAACAAGAATCATTGAAGCTAGACATGATCGATCTTGCTTCTGGAGTGATTCGAATCTCAAACAAAGTGTTCTTGGCTTGAGATATTCGATCAACAAGGTAATCCGAATCTTATTCCCCTTGTATTGATTCCTTATCTTATCATTTGGTATCAGAGCTTCAGGCTCAAGATCGGATATATGTTTCCTTTGCGTTTCTTCTCAATTTGATTTTTATTTATTTTCATCTTTTTAGTTTTTAATCGACCCAAAGTTCAAAATTCAATCTTTGCTCTATTTAAAATTTTGAGAGGTGAGAATGAGAGCTTCATTTGTGTAAATGAGTGCAAACAGAGTGGCCTAAAATTCCTTGAGTGTATACTCGTGAGAGAGTGTTGTGAGGTCCTTCGTATTTCCATAACTTATTTTTTGCAGCAAAGTTTCACAAATAGATTCGAGGACGAATCCTCTTGAAGAAGTGGAGAATGATATGAACCAAGAGACATCAATCATACAATATGCTTCAATGAAGATGTGAAGAAAAGGTTGTCAAAATTATCAAAAGATGTTTCAATTCATGCTACATTGAAGAAGAATAAAGTTTGAGTGTTGTAAATTTTGGGTGGGTTATAATTTAGAGTTATTGTATTTTAAGTCATTTTATTTAATTTCAGTTACCTTTACATAATGGCTAATTATGGCCATAAAGTGTGAATGTTACAACTTTTGTAATGCCTTTAATAGTTTCATTTTGAGGCTATATAAAGCCATGTATGTTGTATTTGTAAGGCAGACTTGGAAAATATATTAAAAGAAGCATTTGTGCTTTTCTTTAGCCAATGGCTAAGTTTCTTTGCAATTCTATGTAGTTTAGGTTGCATGTAGAATCATTCAAGCTCGACATGATCAATCTTGCTTGTGGAGTGATTCGAATCTCAATCAAGTGTTCTTGCGTTAAGATATTTGATCAACAAGAATCATTCAAGCTAGACATGATCGATCTTGCTTGTGGAGTGATTCGAATCTCAAACAATGTTCTTGTCTTGAGATATTCGATCAACAAGGTAATCCGAATCTTATTCCCCTTGTATTGATTCCTTATCATATCAGCCACATTAAATCGTTTTTTTAGTCTTCATCATTTACTCCCTTTTCTTTTAGCAGGCGCCAGTCTTCTTCATCTGGCCGCATTGCATCAATATGGATCCAATAATCCATTGGGTGTACATTCTGAGATGGATAAAATCTCTTTTTACCCTTATTTTTATGTAAAGGATCTAGTAGGTTGGGTAGCTTTTGCTATCTTTTTTTCCATTTGGATTTTTTATGCTCCTAATGTTTTGGGGCATCCCGACAATTATATACCTGCTAATCCGATGCCCACCCTGCCTTATATTGTGCCGGAATGGTATTTCCTACCGATCCATGCCATTCTTCGTAGTATACCTGACAAAGCGGGAGGTGTAGCCGCAATAGCACTAGTTTTTATATGTCTGTTGGCTTTACCTTTTTTTAAAAGTATGCATGTGCGTAGTTCAAGTTTTCGCCCTATTCACCAAGGACTATTTTGGTTGCTTTTGGCAGATTGCTTACTACTAGGTTGGATCGGATGTCAACCTGTGGAGGCACCATTTGTTACTGTTGGACAATTTTCTCCTTTTGTTTTCTTCTTGTTCTTTGCCATAACGCCCATTCCGGGACGAGTTGGAAGAGGAATCCCTACTTCTTATACATATGAGCCCTAGCCCTGTAAGCTCACACCTAATCAGTGCAAAATTCTGACACAAATCATTGTAGAGTTAGTATTACACCAAGAATGAATTGATAAGCAGATTTTATCGTTGGCTTTGTTGATATAGCTTAGATAGGGAAAAGATACGAGAGGGTAGGGCTGCACTTTGAAATCTGGGAGCTTTGTTACCGAAACTCCCTTACACCTCCACCCACGGCACTTATTCGTCTTTTGAAAGCCAGAACATGATCATACAGACAGGAGTATCCCTATCACGCATGCTTCTCCACTGATGACAAAATGACCTTCGAGACTCTGATAGGAATTCCTACCCCTATCAATTTGAGGGGGGAAAGAAGACAGTATTCCGCAGTCATATGTTTTTTGCACTGGGACTGGTAGCGGGAAGGCTCAGAGATCATAAATCAAGGATGGGATAGGAATATAGACATTCCAGCCCAACATACTCCGGTGAATCAGTTGAGAGAGATAGGGAGGGGAGTGGGCTAGAGGAAGTCTAGTAATATGTGACTACAGGGGTTACTCTTCCTTCCTCATCTTTCATTATTTATAACAGTTAAGTGGCTATCTAACCAACCATTCAATCGGCTATGGAGGGAGGTTTCAGCAAGCGGGTAACCGATACAAAACAAACTGAGGTAGGTCGATCATCGCTCAGCCCTCGTGTTCTCTACCGTGAAGTGATTAATCTGGGCCATCCCTATGGAAAGGAAAAGAAAGTCTTCCGATTGGAGTCAATTTTCACCCTCTGATTGATGAGCCATTCCCCCCTTCCGTATAGCCAGAAAGGTAATCCATCTTGTGAAAGTCAGAAAGGTATTCCATCTTGTGGATGACTTTCAGTAGTTCTTCCATCCCCTCTTGTTCCACCTATCCCTTCACTCCCCAGGGATTTCCTACAGCTAGACAACCACGGTTCATCGCTCAGAGAGAAAGAATAGAAGCAAGCATTTCCCGTTCAGTCGGTAATGAATCAATACGCAGGGAAACTCTCTCTCTCCCATGATGGGAATGGCAAGTCTTGTACAGGCTCATATTGGGTGTGGGTATGCTCCTTCCATAGGCCACTTTCCAGAAGGTCTTCAAGGTAGATATGCTCTTCAACTCAGAAAGACCATACATACCTTTTGGTCAGGGGGCACAGAAGGGAGAGTGTGCCGGGTTTCAAGCCTAGTTGCATGTGACTGAGTTGGGAGAGGGGGGCGAATAGATCCGCTTCACTGCAAAATTGCATTTGTTTTTCCTTCTTTTTCTAGTAAGATTGAAATATCATCCTTCGAGAATCTTTAATCCTCATCTTCGTCATGCTATGAATATAGGTAGGCAAATCACGCCATTTCTTTTTCAGAGTAGCGGGAATCTGATATAATTCAGTTTCACTTCTCCAAGCATCTTTTTCAATTCTTTTCCCACTTTCTTGTTGTTAGCCAAAAATAGAATAGAAGAAGATTCATAATTCACATTAATTTATTACGTCCGCTGTCCTCAAAAAGAGATTGTTAGCAAGCAGCACTACTACTAATTCCCGTTTGATAGGTTCCCACCCCATTCGGGAGTTGAAACAAGCATTTTGCCACATGCATCGTGAATTGGATCAAGATCAACAGCTTCTTAATTGGATTTATTTGGCTCTCGAATTGACTATTGAAAAGGAGGTGAGGTGATGGCTCTCTTTCGACGATATGCATCTCGAACCTGGTCTCCAACCGGCACAGAAATTGGCCCAGCACTCGGGGGGGCCCCTACCTGGTCTCAAGAACTCGAGCGGTCTTTATAGTGGTGTGGTAGCCGATTCAGATTGTATAGCTGCTGGGAAGCATAAAGATCGATCCATGTCCAGATTGCAACGCATTAAGATGTCAATGCCTAATAGTGAATGTGTTCCCGGTGGGGCGGCTATCGTCAGTGTTCTAGTACAAATCATATCTCTATCTTTATCAAAGCACGTCAAGACCAAAACAAAATGTAATAATCACAGTGCTTGAATTTTCTTTAATAGTTTGATTGGGTTGGAGTGATAAATGAGTGAGTGAATCTCGATCTCTTCTAGCTCTTCTAACTCATACTCTTCCGGTTGTCCATGTCTCTAAAAAGAATATAGAAAGATCTCCCCCAAAGTAGTTTGCATATCTCAAACTACCTGTGGATCCTCGTATAGATTTCGAATGCTCTCATAGGGCTGCACAGAAAGCTTCCTTAAGACTGGATCATTATAGATTTGGTACCAATCGTGACATTTGAGAAGCTTGTCTATGACTTGCTCTGGCTGACTCTGATGAGACTGATTGCGCTTTTTACTAGTGTCTACAATTTGTTAATTATTTCTTCGTCTGTGTATTCCCCCCAGACAGCTCCTTATCTTCTTTGAAGAGATACAACCATATGGGAGCCCAAGGTGAAATTGCACATCGAGTGCTCTGCCCTCCCACTCGGTAAAGCACTCTCTTATCTTCTTAGTGGTAGTATGCTTGGAGGCATTCCTGTTGAATACCCCCGCATTCAGGTGATACCCACCTTCACTATGTGGTTCCTTTGCCACTAGAACAGGCCCGGCTGTCGAATAGTTGCCTAAGTCTCTCACCAACTCCTTCTTTGTGGTAGGTCTTCTATCCGCATGAGTGTTAGCGTAACAAGAATGAATTTCTTGATTGGGGTGCCCCTTCCATGCTTCCTTCCTTCATTTGTCTGTGCTCCATCTCTACCAATAATGAAAGAAAGAGGTTTGGCCTTCCTGTGTCTGCTTGCTACTCCAGCTTTCTTCTTTGTGATTGCCTTTACAAAGTACACGTCATTCATTCCTTTTGCTCTCGAGATCCTAATGCCAACTGCAAGATAACATCTGAAGCGTCAATGCAGAGTATAATAGGTGGAAGCTCTTCTCTATGTACTTGTAGTTGAGTAAGGACTGTAAGCTTCAAGTCGCTTCTAACTTATCCTCTTTTTTAGAACCAAGAAGATTTGCCAATCATGAGGAGTTGAGTCTGATTCTTTGCCTACCACTAATAGAATAGCTTCGTCCAGGAAATGCCCCTTTGCTTTACTCATTTAGGGCTTCTGGGTGACGTACACAATATCGAACTCTGAGAGTCACATCTGCCACCTTGTTGGCCCATGAAGGCTGGCTTTTCAAAGAGATACTGAAGTGGGTCCATCCTTGCAATCAGCATGGTCGTATAGTTCAAGATGTAGTGGTGTAGGTGTTGCGAGGCTCATGGTTGAGCACAACCCCTTTTTTCTAGAACCGTATACCTTGTCTCTCATAATCAGTGAACTTCTTGCAGATCGAGTATATTGCTCTTTCTTTACTACCTGTTTCATCATGGTGACCAAGGACAGACAACTCATGGATCCTTTCATTACTTACAGATGCATCAGGAGAGGTCGACCAGGCGTTGGCGGTACCAGGATGGGAGGATTGAATAGAGATTTCTGCACTTTGTGAACCTTTGGCAATGCTCCTTCCCTGTGTCTATCTTTTCTTCAAGGAGGCGGGGTCTTGCCCAAGACTTGTCGATCATGTCATCGACATAGACCCACATTTCCCCTTGTTCATCATATTATGAAAGAGCACAGTCATGGCTCGCAGGTAGGTCGCCCCGACATTCTTTAGACCAAAGGAGCCATCACCTTGTAACAGAACATACCCTTCTATCTGATATGGTGATAAACGCTATTTTCTCTCTATCTTCCTCGGCCATCTTGCTTGATCCGGTTATATCAAGAGAAAGCATCCATAAATAAAGGACAGCATCCATGTCCAACGGTCTTGTCCACCAGAACATGTGAGGGGAAGAGGAAAATCTTCTTTTGGGCTTGCCTTAGGCATCTTTGGACTCAGGGAACCAGCTTTCGAATTGAGGGAAAAACCAACCGTTCGAAGCGGGACCTGTTAGGCTATGGAGCCTGATACTTATTTATAGCTTGGTCAACGGTTATATCCGGTAAAGCTATATTTGGTAAGCTATATATGGTAAAGCTATATATGGTAAAGCTATATCCGGTAAAGCTATATATGGTAAATAGTTATATATAGTAGATGGCTAAATCTGGTAAAGCTATATATAGTAAACTATACCATATATATATCTGGTCCGGTAGAGCTTTGTAGAGGTACTTTTCTATTCTCTGTACTCTCTCTTGTTGTACATACCTGAAGTCATCAATAAAAAGAAAAATCCTTTTAGCCAGAGTTCTCCTTTCAAATTTTCTCTATCTTGTTCTTTGTGTTCATCTAGATCGAGCGTGTGCGTTGTTGTGACATCCTAACAACTGGTATCAGAGCTAACGACTGATATCGATCCTAACAGGACCATCCAATTGAATCTCGTTACCCCATGGATTCGTTCTTAGTTAGTTAGGAACCTGACTCGATAGCGCAGGCACAAGACCATTGAATGCAAACAAAGAATAGCGAGACCGCATATAAAAAGGTTTGGAACCCAAGCTGACCTTATTATTATTCAACAAAGAGGAAGGTTTGATAAAGGGTAGTAGGTGTAGGTCTTTCCAGCCTCATTAATGCAATGGAACTCAATCACTTTCAGAACTAGCCTTGGAAGGAAATCTTGATTCAAATCATATAATCTTTCAGAAGCTGGCATCGCTAGCGGACTCCTCCTCGTCGACAGCCAACAGTTGCCGGACGGGACTTCCTTGCCTTCAGCCTAGCCGCCTTGTCTTATCGCGCCCTTTCGATTACCTTACTGACGGGCTTGCTTTCCTGCCTTTAGCCTTCAGACGGTATGCTCTAGTTGCTGTTGGGCAGCTCTTAGCTGAATGCCTTGCTTCGCCCTACAGCTAGTGGAGACACCGACTAATAAGATTGACGAGAGGAGAACACATGTCGTGGTCGAGACAAATGATGATTGTCTTACTCATCCTTCTCTTCTTTCTAGGCCTGGACTAATGCTTCCTTATGTCCGCCATTAGCTTAAGACTAGTGTAACGGAGGGCTTCCTCGCAAGAAGCTTTATAGTCAGGGCCAGCTTGTTT